TTTTAATCAAATGCAAGCTTCTTTCAAAAATTTCGAAACTCAATCACATTGAAATATTTTCTTCTACAGATTTTCGAAAATTATAGGCGGACGACGGAATTATTTATGATTCAGAAAATACAGCAATGTCTTTTTCAAGATACAGGTTCATTAAATTTTGTCACAATGAAACTTGGCAGTACTCTTGAAGATAACTTTTTTAAATTGAATTCTCTTGTTTATGAAAAAGGTAAATTTATGTAAATAAAATTAAATTGTTGTTTATAGATTTTTTAATGTTTATAGTAGTGAAAAAAAGATAAAGCTAATAGCAAACAAATTCTTCTTTAATGCATATTTACACATATATTAAATTTGTATGTACTTTAAACGTATTATTAATTAATATTTTATGATATATATCATCGCAGCATCAATTTTATTACGCATGTTACAAAATACAGTTACCGATGAGGTATTTCGAAAAGGTCTTATTACATATTTGACTAAGCAGTAAGTATGTCTCTCTAATGTAGCATTATATTATTATAATATATCATATTTATTACAATATTAAATATTATAAATATAATAATAGTTTTAATATTTAGTGCTCTAATATTTAATAACTCGATATTATATTCTTATTTAATTGTAGGCTGTACACTTTGGTTCGCATTTAGAATGCGCTTTTATCGAAAAATACGCATTTTTATATCTAAAATTCTACAACATAATGTTATATAGTAATATTAACTATAAGAATAATTGCTAAAATAAAAACATATTATAAATAGAGCCTTTCATGTTTTTATTTAATAATAATTGAATTTTAAATTGTATTATAAATGTTTATATGTATTTATAAATTCAATTACATTAAATATTCGTTTAGATCTCTTAATAGTCAATATACATTACCTTATGTTTGTCAAATTTATAGTCAGTTTAACTCGGCTACTCCGGATGATTTGTGGAGCGCCATTCAAAGTGCTCTAGACGAGTCTGATGTGCCGCACGAAGATTACAGAATAAAAGAAGTGATGGATACTTGGATGAATCAAAAACACTATCCTTTTGTACACGTAAAACGAAATTACAAAACTGGGGAAGTAACAATATCACAAACATGTGTCTGGCTATATGGTGAGACTGAGAATAAAATTACTAAGTGGTGGATTCCTATAACTTTCGCTACGCAGTCCAATCCGGATTTCTCCAATACTGTACCTCGTTATTGGTTACGACCAGATCAACATAATATAAGCTTCACAATTAACCCAAATGATTGGATTATTGTTAATTTGCAACTCACTGGTAAGAACGAATAAAAATATTTAATTTTTTTACTTATTTTATTTTGTTCTATAATCACGAAAATTTTACATCATATTTATATGTATTTATTGAACATATTGTGTGTATTTTGTATTTATAAAATCTTAAAAGAGATTTATATATTTAATTTTCCAAAATTTTGTTAAATATTAATTAATGTAAAATAATTTAATCCGTAATTTTTATATTTCATTGTGATATTTGTATACAATATGTTACAATTGCGTGTTACATTAAGAAAAGGTAAAATGTAGATATCTATGAAAATATATCTTGATGAATTCATATTCATTAAAAAGATTTAATAACACATGCAATGAATAATGCAACAGGATACTATCGTGTTAGTTACGATATCAAAAATTGGCAAAAAATTGCACATTACTTAAATAGTAATAAATATACAAATATACATGTTCTTAATCGTGCTCAAATCATCATTGATTCATTTATATTGGTGCTTAATGATCGAATGATTGGCTACTCATTCCTTCAACTCATAAGATACCTTTCGAAAGACAGAGATTATGTGGCATGGCAACCATTATTCGAAATTATGGAACGTATGCCGAAGGCTCTTTTACCACCGGAAATGATACATATTAAGGTACAATTTTATAGTTAAAATAATACGGATAATCTTAATTTTCTTTCGGCTATAAATGGGCTGCTTCTTAAATTTGCACTTTTTTAAAAAGTTAACACTTATAAAAATTATACTATGATATATCCACTATATATAATTAAATTTTTTTTATGTTTGACGTTTTCATATAGCAATGATTTATATTAAGAAAATGACTATATTAAAAAATATATAAATACATAATAAAAAAAGAGAATATAAAGTATTTAATAAACAATTACGAAGTAAAAGATTGCAACATTCATTTTATGAACATATAATTTCCATATATAAAATATATATATATATTTTTTTTTTAATTAACATATATTAAATGTTCGGCAAACTTTGCATGTCTTATAATTTACGCACAATGATATCACAAATAAATAACAATATAATATGACATAATATATGTCATACAAATCATATTATCACGTGTAATATATTTCATTGGGAGGTCAAATCAGTTACAGTCGGGGCAATGAAATGCATCTTTGATAATACTTGTTGCAAACATAAGTTCAATAATATTAATTATCAACAATCAATTAAACAAATAATTTTTCATGTTTTCCCTTAGTAAAAGATGAATGCAGGTAGATCAATGATTCCTATGTAACGTGAATTTATTGATAAAGCATTGAAATTGTATACATTCTTACATATTGATTTACTCGTATATGAGTACATATTTTTACAATCAATAAACAAATATATACTTGTCTTTGTGGCCGACATGGACAATGTATGCCACATAAGAAAAATATTACACATGCATGCACACAGCACATGCATAATTGCAAATCTATATGAATATACGTCAGTATTTAGCGAATGTGTGTACAGTTATTGTACATTGGTCATATTGTTTAGAATCGCCTTAAACCAAAAACATTACTAATTTCAATAATTATTGCGAAAAAGTTAAACCTCGCCGATTACCTTGATCTTGACATATGTTGTCAAGGTCATGACCCTGAATAACCTTCAACAAGTTTTAGCCGGCAATCACTATTCGTTAAAAAATATTAATAAAAAAAAGGTCTTAAAAAATGTACCATTTTTGCTATAACGAAAGTTATATACATGTAGAATTTTGCGTTGTGTTGTAAGGTGTGGAGGAGAGGTAGGGTGAATCTCGCTCTGCGTTGAAAGTCGTGTGGTCCTATGACAGGGAGAGGTAAAAAGAATTTCAACAGGGTGGAAAGTAATTCCACGGGAAGCGATTCTCACCCCACCTTTCTCCCCTGCTTAAGGGCGTACAATATTTACGCTTTAAACAAACTACATACATGTGAAAGTTGTGTTTATAACATTCTGTTTTTATTGAACAACACATTTTTATAGATTATTTATTTTATTTGATATTAATTTTATTGTTATAAACAAAATTTTTTTAAAGAATAACAAAAATCTAAATTTTTTGGTATAAATATTTTAAATATTTTAACTAAAAATGACTTATGCAAAGTTTCATTGAGATTCACCAATTAGTTCAGGTCAGGATCATGACCTTGACAACACATATCAAAGTCATCGGCGAGGTTTAACCTTTTCGCAATAATTACCCTAATTTCTAGCTACGCTTCAAGCATCTCTTTAACGAGCTTCTTGAATACGTAAAGTACGTAGAAAATCCTAATGATGATGATATCACAAAATTGACAAGGATAAACGCCTTAAAATGTGCATGTAATCTTGGTAACGAGAAATGCAAGGAAGTGACCGCGCTTAAATTAAGCAAACATCTCGCGAATCCCAAAACTTACAAGTAATAAATAATCTTATATTTATTTCATAATTGTATTTGTGTGTGCATGTGTACACATGGATATGGTGACATTATAGTCGACTCTCTATTTCTTCAAATTGTCGAGACCAAATATTCGTCTTACTCTTCTATATAAGTCAATCTCTATTCTTATTTAGTAATGACATAATGACAGAAGAAATATGGTGTTGCGTACAAGCAAAAATATAAATATAATAAAATGACAAGCTGCACTACCGATATATCTTTTTTCATTTTGTTTCTTTATTGTAGTTATATTATGTAATGACATAACAACTTTTACACTACAGTGTACGACAGTAAAGCAGAATAAAAATTTAATTTAATTTTTTTTATTTTTTAACGAAGTTATACCGCTTAATAACATATAACAAGATTACTGAACGTAAAAATTTTGATAAAATAAAAAGTCGGTTATTGTATGAAATATGCATATATTCTTTTTTAATAAATACATATTTTAGAATTTCACAAAAGGAAAAATTTATGTATTGTACCGGTATGATGGCAGCCAATAGAACTACTTGGGATAAAATGTTTAAATTATATTTAATAAATAAAAAAATAAAATCGAAACGAATGAATTTATTGGAAGGTTTGAGTTGCGCTGAAGATCCTAATATCATCATTAACTATTTAAATATATCAGCATTGAATACTTCATTATTTCACAATAATGCGCATTCTTTTATCTTCAAGTACATTCTTAAAAAGCATGCACGCAATGATGTAATTCTTGATTATATATTAAAAAATTTTATGATTATACTTCCTAGGTAATAGTATTCCTCTTCGTAAACATATTATAAAATTTTCTAATCATAAATATTTATTAATTATGTTATTTTGTTTTTATAGATCATTTACTACACATACAGTGATAAAATTTATTCTTGACAATATTTATTCTTACGAACAAATTGACAAGGTAAATTTCATAATTCTAAATTTATAATTAGTGATTTATTGACTATAAAAATCGTTTTAGCTCTTAAATGTCCAAATTAGAAAAAATAATGTATCGAATTGCTGCATAAGAACAAATTAACTATTTATTCAGTATCTCGAACTAATCTGTTTCAGATAAAAAGATTCTCAGAAACTACTTTCAATCATAGTCCACTCATTTTGTCTGAAATTAAAGAATTGATATACAAGAAAAGAATATCTTACGAAATTGATATGAATAACAAGTTTACTTCAGAGAAGGAGATTTAATTGAGAATTAATTATTGATATGTTCACAAAAAAGTTAATCTGCAAAAAGTAAAATTTAAATTTATCTAATTAAATCTTTATAATAATACTATGTTTATCTGTTCAGATATCAAATTGTAAATAAAGAATCTATTTATTTATATTAATTTATTTATATTAATTTATTTATAATTTTATAATTTATTTTATAATTTATTTTTAATTATACTACTAATCTATTTTTAATTATTTTTTGATATTTTTCAATAATTTTATAATATTTATTATTTTATTAATAGTTTGGGGAAGCTATTGAGAGACATAATCTTCTGACACATTAATCTTTTATCAATGAAAAATAATTTATGTTATATTATATAATATATTAGACTTTTCAATGTAGTTTTTAGAACATTTTTATAAACGCTCTAAGTATGGTTTATTATATTCGATTCAGAGCACTTGTAATTAAATTGTCTCAAGTAATAAATATTTTTTAGATATTATATATATAATAGTATCGCTTTCTAATAACAAATATGTAAACTATTTATAGCATTATTATTAATTATTATTACAGTTGATTTGGAAGAGAATAGATGTAAAATAATAAATCATTATTTTGTAATAAAATTCTATAAAGCTAAAATAAAAGTTTTTATTTAAACTTATTATTATATAAAATAAAAAACATTATTGCTATACAAAACATTGTAGATTCTTAGTATTTTATATCATAGATAATTCCACTGGTATATTAATATTGTAATCTTTCACATTTTATGACTTTTCTATTTTTATCAGAATTTCTTGATGGCAAAAATATGCACATACTTATTGTTCTGGTTTAATAGCAACTATACAAAAATTATGGGACAAACGATAAATTTATATATTATAATAACGATGATATTATATATATTAGGTGTAGTAAAAAGTCATCGCGTTTTTTTAAAAGACATCTATCAGTAAAAACCGCAATTACTTTCTTACCAACAATATAAATATATCTTGATAGAGTAAAGTTTCAGCTTTAAAAATCTCTTTTTTAAATTATACGATACGACAATTTTTAATGGAGTTATG